AACAAAGCCGCGATAAACATGGGTATACATATATCTACTTGGATGTCATTTATGGTCTCTTTAGGGTATATTCCCAGTAGTGGAATTGCTGGCTCAAATGGTATCTTTATTTGCAACTTTTTGAGAAAGCGCCTCAATGCTTTCCACAGTGGTTGCACCATTATTAACTATATTTAATAGCAAATAGTAAAAGTATTTGACCGTGGATCACAAATTATGGCTAACACTGAGAAGAATGAAAATCTCAGAACACTTAATTGTGCTCAAGCAAAACCTAGAACAAGGAGCTATTTAAACAGAAAAAGAACAGCATGGTTCAAAATAAAGAAAGTTGTTTTGACAGGGCTGTATCCTTTCTCCATACCTTCCTATTCAACCATTCAAGAGGCTGAACTTGATGAAGAATGTGACATCAGGATCAGAGGAAGACTCAACAACCTGCATTATGCAGATGGCACATGGCTGTGTGTACAAATAGCATCTTTTGGGTGGAAACATGTATAGATCTCTTTATCATCAGAACTGATCAGTTTTCTATTTCATCAGGCTTGAGAGCAGGTAGAGGCAGAAAACAGGAATTTCACAGACATCAATAAAGCAGCACACAGTGTAATACACCCAAGACCAAGACAGTAGTGCTAGCAGCAGTGAGGCAGCAACTTAGTCCACAGCAAAGGTGGTGGAAAACGACACTGGAGTCACAGAAGAGAGAGCATAGCATCTTGGCCTAGGCTTACGGGTGGAGTGGGGAGCATGACAAGGGCAAAAGGGGAGTCACATAACTGGCAAAACTAAAGTGCTTTGTGGGAGCTCTGCTGACCTAGTGGCAAGAAAACTGCACTGCAGTTCAAATCCACCAGCTGCTCCATGGGAGGATGGGCAGTTTCCTCCCCTGCAATATACTGACTACCTCTGTAAACTCAATCTATGGCACACAGCCACAACGAAGATCTCTGTAACACTGCCTACCCCCCAGAGACCAAAGCCACAACGCTGAAGGTCAGAGAAAGGTCTGCCTGCTAGCATGGCTGACAGGAGGCTGTCCTTAGTAATTGTTCTCTTTCATGTTTCCAACTAGAATTGGAATCTGCTACTTCTCTAATAAACTCTGTAATTCTAAGTATTGCTGGTGAGTTCGTCTTGTCACAGGTACAAATTATCAAGCTCTGTGGAAGGGATGGCTAGTAAGAGGATGATGCAGACGCATGGGGCACATCTGACCTCACAGAATTGGTTTTGTGCTCCTGTTAGTGTTGCTGGGGATTCTTCCATTGATGGGAGTCCAGATTTTTGCTAATCCCACGCTCAGTGCATTGTGTTTAACACATGAACAAAATAAAAGGCGGGAAAGAAAGAAAAAGTACCAAAATTGATGTCAGAAGATTTGACATTTGCTCTAGAATGTAAGGAAGCTAAAGGAAGATGAAGGAAGCCAGGGAGATTTTAAGGGGCAGCTCAAGAAGACAAAGTATTACCATGAAGTGTAAAAAAAGCTGGAGTTTGAGAAGCAAAAGGGAAAAAAGCCCCACAAAAATAAGAGAAAAATACACAATTCTCAAGCTAAAAGGACTTAAGGAAAACAATTCAAGCCTCAAGATGCAAGACTGAAGGATTCTATGAGCATAAAAACGAATATGGAACAGTCATTGTACCATAAAGAAATGACAGTGAACCATTTTAGGAAATAATATGATTAAGAACCAAAGGTATCAAAGGAAGACATCCAGACTACATTGAAGGTACTGGCAAAAAGTAAGGCTCCAGGACCTGATTGAATACTAGTTGAAGTGTTTCATCAAACATTTACAAGATCTGTATCTGTTCCCATTAAAAAAATAACCCAACAGAATGCAGAAATTATGGAACATTTATCATCACACAAGTAAAATCTTGCTGAAGATTATTTAGAAACAAATGAAGCAGTATAGTCACAAAGAACTGCCAGAAGATCAAGCTGGGTTTGGATGAAGCCATAGAGAAGGGTTATCGATCACTGCTTACATTAAAAGAATACTGACTAAAAGCACAGAATATCAGAAAGATGTTTATGTTTTATTGACTATAAAATTTTCCATAACAGTATGGATCATAACAAATTATGGATACCAATCAACATTATATTTTGTTGCTTTTAGTTGCTGTTTTAATTTTTTTCTCCAAATATTTTCACTTATGCTGCATCAATGGATTTTAACATCTCTCATTTCCTACTCTATCAAAAAAACCCCAAGGCCCCAACTACATAGGAAGAGTTCTAATAATATGTGAAACTAGTTTAGATGTAAATGTTGAAATTTTTTTAACAGACATTCACAGATTTAGATACGGGTACTTCTATTGTATTCTAGGACTTTTACATTACTAGGTGATGATTATTCCTCTGCAATACAGTCCTTTTGGAGAGAATGCTTTGGGATCCCCTAACTTCACACTTCTAAAACTCAGAATAAAGTATCTACTAGAACAAGATTACACTTGGATCTAGCTAATATGTGTCATGTTCCAAGGTGATTCTTTTGAGATTTAAGTGCTAGATTATGTCTTTATAAACTCAGGTCTCACTTTAACAGGTCTATAAACACAGTGCCTAGCACTGGGGCCAAGCATGGGAGATGTGAAGTGGCACAGGATACAGAAAAGTTGAGATCTCTTATCCACAGGGTCACTACGAGCTGTGTTGACTTGATGGCATCTAACAACACAAACTCAAGTCATCTGTATTTGGGCCAGTCTCTATTGACAGTGTGTAATTACAAACAAAGCTCTTCCTGGATCGTAATCATTTAATATGAGAAATATTTTCAAACAGATAAAAAAATTAGACCAGACGTGCTGAAAACATATAGTTTAATTTTTTTACAATCTAATTTGAACCCAAGATATTAGTTTGGCCTTTTTCAGTCCAGGTAAGAGAAATAACCTAGGTTTAGAGCATAGCTCAGAACAATTTTTTAAAAAGATAATAATTTTTATTTTTTCTTTCAAGGGAACAGAGCCATAAGCATAAGCAAAGAATGAATTATCCTTGACATTTCAGGTTTGAACCAGATTTGGCTCATGAGAATGGTGGTCCCTTATGATAGATAAGCTTGTTCTTTATACATAATCTTTAGTCAAAGCCAAACTATTACTAAAAAAAGAAAACATATATATGTAGGGTTTTTTTAATAATACAGCAAATGATTTCTGGAATATATGGAGTGTCACTTGTACACCAGATAATAGTGAACATTCAGAAATATATTCAACACTGAAAGACTTAGAATAAATTTCAGGGCTAGCTTCATATGTTACATATATAAGGAGGCACTGGCCAATTTATTTTAAATAGATATAAACAATCCCAAACATTTACTAAAACTCATTAACTCAACAGAAAGTCTGGAATTGTAATAACGTTCCCAGTTAATCTCTATTATTTTGAATATTACTCCTCCTTCCCCACAAAGGAAAGGTAAATCATAACAAAACAGAAAACAGTTAACTGTTAGGATAAGGTAACCAAAACTGTACCTCTTACTGACCAGTTAGAGCTTTTCCAAACCCACACAGAGCCTAGGAGGTTTTAACTGCCAACTTTTCAGTTAGCTGATGACCACTTACTACTCGGCTACCAGGGAGCTCCTTTATGATACCTTTTTTTTCTCCAACAGGATTTACAGCTTTCTTATTTTACAGGGAATCACCACTGAGTGGAAAGCTAGAACACTTTATGTACATATTTACCATTTTCTACTTTATCCAAGTAGAAATGACCCCTAGTTTAGGGCATGTCTTTTAGGCCCTGTGTTGTTTACTAATCTATTTCTCCTTTTCAGAATGACTTGGTTTCAGGTGGTTTTTGGCACATCTCCAACTCTAGTAACCAGATTTATAAATGTACACTTACTCCACAGTTATTTGATAAAGCTTCTATTTATTCTGAGTAAAGAATTTTGATAATTAAGTTCACTTGCTTAATTGGTTACCACTGATTAGTCTTGGAGTAAGGATTTTACTTTCAAAATGTTTGTTCAAAAAAAAAAACAAAATGTTTGTTCAAGTCTATAAGCATTCTATAAGGGAATTACAGAATTCTGACACCATAATAACACATTTGTTTAAATAAATATTCACACAAATGTTCATTTACAATAAGTAACTTCTTTATACCTTCATCTCAAGATGGGAAAACAACGATTTAGGGATTCACAGAAAATGGACAATGAATAGTGGGAGATGTCTAAGAAAACATTAACTTTCTTAAAGTTTTTTATCCTCTGTTCATACTAAACCAAGATCATGAAACAGAAAACTTTAAACTGGGGTTAAATTTCAAAATCAAGTTCAATTCCAGTACTTTCTCCAAAAGAAATCATTTCCCCCACTTCTCTCTCTCCTAAATCCAAGCACACCTTAGGGAACTGTATTGTGAACGTCAAGATTATAGCTGTCTCCACAGTTCTGCCTTTGGCATGTCTTGGGAATATATTTATTACTAAAGCTCTAGGCCACATGACCTTTGACCAAGCAGCACACAACTTATAATCAGGTATTTAATTTTTAAATGTAATAATAATTGCATGTAATTGGCATTAGAAAAATCCAGTAATGCCCGTTAAAAATAACTTACTTGGACACATTCAAAATAATAAAAAGAACTGGTTAAATTTAAAATAAAAAGAACCACCGGCTTAATATAAATATCTGGTAAGAATGAACCAATGTGACCTAGGAGATATCAGAAATTCTTGGGCTAATTACAGCAACATAGTAACAGGTTTTTCAAGGTACTTTTTAAACTCAGCAAGCCACTGAGCTCCCACTGCTCCATCCACAACCCGATGATCACAGCTGAGTGTAACAGACATCATGCTCGCCACGTCAAACCTAGAGAAACAGAAACATACTCCGAATGACATCATTAGAGCTCAGCCCGTTAACCAGCCCAAATGCTGATTCCTACTCTATAATCTGAAACAAGTAACATTATTTTCTCCCTACCCATCATGTTCCCTATCCCTCCAATTCCGATTAACAATTTGAATAAACATCCAACTGGAGTATGGATCACCAAACTACAGTTAAACTACACTTGCACTTAACTTTTATTAAAAGTTCACTGGAATTTAGTCAGGTCCATTCATTTATGTAACCTAGACTGCTTTCACACTGCAATGCCAAGTGGAATACTTAAATAGAGACCATCAGGCCCACAAAACCTCAACATTCTACTGTCTCACTCTTTACAAAAGTGTGCTGATCTCTGATATAATGATGGCTTCTATTCTCAAATGGATTTACTGCATTTACTAAAATGAATAAGTTGCTATACTTAGAAGCTTCAGTCTCTACTTGTCTGTCATGAACTGAAATCCCAATATATCATATTAATGACAATTGCAGTCTTTCGTAAAAATTAAGACCCTAAAAAGGGATTAGTGTAATGAGGATGAGTTTACACCTCCGTCCCCATTTTGGTCCTTACCCTTTCTCATTATCTGCTGGAACAAGCCTATCTTCTGAAGCACCGATTGCCAAAATACACGCTTGAGGTGGGTTAATAATAGCAGAGAAATTCTTAATACCAAACATTCCTAAATTGGAGATTGTAAAAGTGCCACCCTAGAGGGGGAAAAAAATTTTAATGGATCAAAATGCTTATCAAAATAAATCATAAAAAAAATTATAAATGTTACTTAATTTATTTTCTAGTTTTCAAGATGTGTCAGTGAGAATACAAGCAGAATCAAAAAACAGTAAATTATGTGGTTAGAGAAGTAAATGATGCCTCACCTGGAACTCATGTGGCTGTAGCTTACCCTCTCGAGCTTTGGTTGCTAAAGAAACAACATCACTGGCAATGGTTTCCAGCCCTTTTATATGTGCATTAAATACAATGGGTGTGATGAGTCCAGCAGGAGTACTGACGGCGACACTAACATCAACAACGTGATTTCTATTGGAAAAGAAGGAAATGTAAACGACTGACAGCAGTACTTAGAAGGGCCTATGTGCCAGGCAAAGCAACAACCCATCCACTGCCATCAAGTCGGCTCCAACTCGGAGCGCCCGTCCACCAGCTTCCTGAGGCTGTTAAGTTGTTACCAGAGGCGACTGTTCACCTTTCTCCCTAGGAGCCTCGCAGGTTCAAGCTGCCTACTTTCTGTCAACCCGACATGTTATCCTCTATGTCACCAACACCCCTTAGCACCAAGATTGAAATTCTAAAAAATTTTTTTTTAAATTTTATTATTTTTGTGTGCGTGTACCATCAAATCAGATCTGACTGGTACAGGAGGAGATTGTCTCTCCTTCCCCAGTAGAGCATCTGGTGGATTTAAACCGTGCGCCTCTGGGATTGTAGTTGCAGCTCCTTGCCACTAGGCCACCAGAGCTCCCAAAATTCTAAAATATTTTAAAGCTAGCCTGTGTTACTGTTTGGCCAGAGCGATGTTTTTTCCTGTATATGTATTTTGCCATACCCATCTTGACTTGCACATTTTAAAAATAAAGGAGAAATGCTGCCACCCTCCAAACTCACATTTCACCTGGACTAAAACATGGAAAAATGGTTCTGAATTCAAAAAGAATTAAGCAACCAGAACCTCAAGGATTTCTAAAATAGGTGGGCTGGCTGGAGCCGAGTGCCCACAAGCAGAGATGGAGCAGAAAAAGGACAAGGAGCTGGGAAGAACTGCACTCTGGGGTGCTGAGACCCCAGGACAGTGTTGTCTTCTCCTGCATCATGAGCCCTTTCCTGCATTGGGTCCCTTCTCAAATTTTAGCACAATCAATAAAATACTTAAATTATAAAAGAAAACAACTACATTAAAGTTCATTAGAAAATTATGTGAAAACTAAAATCATTACATATGTGCTCTGTATTAACACAGTAACAAGATCACATTCCAGGGCTAGCACGATACTAGTTTAAGCCGTCTGTAACAACTTTAATATGGTAGGAAAACAAGTGACCTTACTGGTACCAGGCACAATACTCGGTGAATATAGTCATGACACAAGTAGTGTTAAAAGTATTTTTATATTTATAATAGAGGAAATGTGGAATTTCAGTTAAGAGGTTAGTGAGGGGGAAAATCCAATCATTTCCAATCCCATGCAAGTTCACAGACTCCTGAACTGTATCTTGGGAGTTTGTGGACTGTAAGGGGCCTACTGAATTGTTCAGCACTCATTAAGTTAAGAACTTCAGATCAAAGTATAGGACCACCTCCAACCAAAGAACTCTAGCTTTCAGCATAAAATGCACAAACTCCAAGGACCAAATCCTGTGCCCTGTAGGTATTAATGACTTGACTACAATTCAAAGTACCTTTATGGAGTTCAGTTCTTCTTTGACAACAGGGCATTGCCATGGGTGGAATTATTTCTGCTGTAAATGGCTTCTTGTTGTGTACTGTGGAATCAGAATGGACCCATAGCTGACTCTCCAGTGGGTTTTCAGAGGGAATTAATCACACAGGATGAGAATGCCCATCTTTTTCCTGTGGAGCAGCTGGTGGATTTGAACTGTGTGCCTTTGGGACTGCAGTTCAGTTTCTTAGCACTAAGTCACCAGAGCTCCCTAATGTAAATGGCTTAGGGACAGAATTCCATAGTAGAATTCAGTACTGACTCAGTAGCAGAATCCTTACCTTTCACTTAGGGACTCTCAGGTTTAGGTGCACCTCATGCGTGGCCACCATGTCTGTCAGTGGAGACTTGTGTTGCTATAATGCTAAAGAGTATGTAAGAGACTAGAAATAAAGGCCTGGCAAGCTACTTCCAAAATTTCAGACAGTGAGAAGAATCCCAGGGATCCTAAAAGTCCATCCACAACAGATCATGAATCATTTTGCTCCATTCCAAGCTACTTTACATGGAGTCGCAATTTAATTACAGCTCAGCAGAGGAGAAAGCAGACCTTGCATTGAGGGAGGCTCTGGACGCCTTAGGAAGCAAATCCATAGTCCCAGGACCACAGTCAACTGGCAGAACAGAGATCACTAATACAAACTACTTTGGTGAGTAGTGCCTGGGGTCTTAAAAGCTCACAAGCAGCCACCTACAATTGCGAGCTCTAATCATCTGAAGCAAAAAAATGAGAGAAAACATGGAGAACAAAATTCAAAGTCCTACTTAAAGCTGCCTTTCTTGGAGTCGCCCTCATTTTTATCTGTACCCCCTCTCAATTAACTTTTGAGAAAAATGGGTATTCCTTGCCTTGACCCCCAATATAACCCTGGTGTCAAATTGAGACTTTTCTTCATAACCACATTCAGAGGCTCTTCTGCATCTCATTGCCTGCAACCATAGGTCTTGAGCTTGAGAGGGTGAATTTGATCCTTTCTACCCCCACCTCGCCACCCCCAAACCCCCGATGCCTTCTTCAGTCGTCTTTCTCTCCCCAAACCCCCGATGCCTTCTTCAGTCGTCTTTCTCTCAGCCTTGCCTTAACCTGGCATTTGGAATCCAATCACCTGCATTTTTTATATTGTTAAATGCCAGGAATAAATGGTCTTTGCTTCTGTGTAAATTTCCTCCAGTGTCCATATAATATTGCTTAGATAAAAAAGCTAGAAATGACTTCCTCCACCATCTTGCTTTCCTGTGACCCGCCCGTGACCTTGTGCTGGATGGCCTTGAGCCATGAAGCTGCTAACCAGAGCCAGGACCCTCTTGCGATTTAATTCCCTCAAAGTTGCTCCCAGAGTCAAAGCCGCGGCTGCCCCCAGAGGAGCGCTTCCACCACCTCAGGACCTTGAGTTTACCAAACGGCTTAGTGATTGCTTCCCTGGAAAACTATGCCCCTGCCTCAAGAATGGGCTTGTTTATTAAAGCTGGCAGCAGGAATGAGGACTCCGACAGTTTGGGAACCTCTTATATGCTGCGTCTTGCATCCAGTTTGATCACAAAAGGATTATCATCTTTGAGGATAACTCATGGAATTGAAGTAGTTGGTGGTAGCTTAAGTATAAGTACAAGGGGACACATGGCTTACACTTGTGGAAGGCCCGCAGGGTGATGCTGATATTCTAATGGAGTTCCTGCTCAATGTCACCACAGCACCAGAATTTCGTCACTGGGAAGTAGCTGCTCTTCAGTCTCAGTTAAAGATCGACAAAGCTGTGGCTTTCCAGAATCCACAGACTCATGTCACTGAAAATGTACATGCAGCAGCTTACCGGAATGCCTTGGCTAATTCTTCATACTGTCCTGATTATAGGATTGGAAAGGTGACATCAGAGGAGTTAACATTTCTTTGTTCAAAACCACTTTACAAGTGCAAGAATGGCTTTGACTGGACTTGGTGTGAGGCACCCTGTGCTAAAGCAAGTTGCTGAACAGTTTCTCAACATGAGAGGTGGTCTAGGTTTATCTGGTGCAAAGACCGTGTATCCTGGAGGTGAAATTTGAGAGCAGGGTGGAGACAGCCTGGTCTATGCTGCTCTCATGACAGAAAGCGCTGCCATAGGAAGTGAATGCGTTCAGCGTGCTTCAGCATGTGCTCGGTGCAGGACCCCACGTCAAGAGGGGCAGCAACGCCACCAGCTCCCTCTAAGAGGCTGTTGCAAAGGGAATTAACCAGCCATTTGATGTCTATGCTTTTAATGCCAGCTACTCAGATTCTGGGCTCTTGGAGATCTACACGATTTCACAAGCTACAGCTGCTAGAGATGTCATCAAGGCTGCCTATGACAAAGTAAACGCGATTGCTCAGGGAAGCCTTTCAGATACAGTCATCCAAGCTGCCAATTAACAAGCTGAAAGCTAGATACCTAATGTCGGTGGAATCTTCCAAGGGTTTTCTGAATGAAGTTGGATTCCAGGCTCTAGTTGCTGGTTCTTACATGCCGCCAACCGCAGTCCTTCGGCAGATTGATTCAGTGACTGCTAGTGACATCAAAAACACTGCAACAAAGTTTGTTTCCGGCAAAAAATCAATGGCAGCAAGTAGAATTTGGAGCATACACCTTTTGTTGCGGAATTGTAATAGTGAAGTCCATATTACATTAAAGAGCTGACCACTGACTCAACTCAGCGGCAGACACATAGAAGTCTGAAAAGGCTCTAATATAATATTTATCTCTTTTTTTTCAATGAGGTAAAATATCTTAACGTATAAATGTGGGTAATTATTTCCAAATGACCCAATGTCAAGAAAAGATTGGTGTGTTTTTGTTTTTGTTTTTTTAAATAGGCTAGAAATATTGAAGGAAGTTGCTTCTGGCAGCCAGCATTTGGCTAGCATTCAAAATGTTCCTTCCCCTGTTAGCTAGGGGTTGGTTGGTTTTATATGAAAAGGTTTTTCTTCCTGAGTTCCAAGGTCAAAAGTTGAGGCTAATATAGTCAAGCAAACACTATACTTTTCTATCTTGAATTCTGAGCCCTGTAATTAGAAAGCCTTAGTATGGTAAGAAAGAAGTCTAGTAGTCACATAAACTGGGTCTGAACCTTTGTTCTGTCACTTGGGAGCTGTGTCAGCTTTTGTAATACAGTTGACATCTCTGAGCCTCAAGCACCCACTCCCAGCAAAATAGATATAACTTTTTGTGAGCTTATAAGATTTAAGTGAAATAACTTATGTAAAGAGCCTAAACTTGTAATACGTTAAGCTCTTAGATTTGTTTCATTTCCTTCTTTCTTTCCCAGGGGATGGACGGGATCTGAACAGAATTTGAAAAATACTAAAGTCTGTCTCTTCTATCTTAAAACAAAACCTCTGGGTTGGTTGTTTTTCTGTATTATCTGAAAAACCCCTAGTGGTTTCAGTCATCCTTTTGGGCTGTTCTTGCTATTTTCCCTTTCTTGTTGTGTTCTCAGGGTAAGAGACAAGAGGGCAGGTGATTTGGTTCAGAGAATAGGGTCTCAGGGTCAGCTGTAGTTGTTATATGCCTTCGAGTCAGCTGCGACTCATAGTGACCATATGTACATCAGCTCGGGAGCCTGCCCTGT